TAACATTGTTGATTGTCAATGAGTATATTAATGACCATGTGCTATTATACATAAAATATTGTAAAAATGTAGAGGACAATCACCACAGTGTGTTCAAATGTCTGCCAAAGAGGAACATGGCATCATGTGATGCTGGTGACATGGTATTGGGACAAACAATTTTTGAGGTTAAAGGGGGAAGTTCTGTTAGTAACATAGTTGACAGAACTTTTGCGGACATTCATATATAAGATATTTTAAATTATTAAAGGGGGAAATCAATTAAAAATATGTTATTATTCTTTAGTATTTAGACTTTTGAAATAAAATGAATCATTTTTAAATTTACTTTAATGGTTTTTATTCATTATTTTGAATCCAAGACACCCTCAACTGAAAAACGGACATAGCAAAAAACTGACAATTTAAGAACATCATGACACATTTCAAGCTAAATAAAGCATAGGATGCACATAATGTTTGTGTGATATTATAACATGCTTTCCAATAATAGGCAAAATATGATATTTTTGAAGAAAATAGTTAGAATAATTATAATTATCATCAATGGACATCAATGGACATGGAATGTACCCTAAATTGTAGAATCACTCAGCAGTTACATACACCAAACCTTCCAGTTATATCCTATCAATATATGAAGGCTTTTACAGAAGGGTTTGGTCATATATAATTCATAGCCTGAATTTATAACATTTTCTATACCTAAAAACATGGTGAAAATTGATATTTTAGGGCTTGTTGACAGTATTTTCTGATTTATGGAGTGATACAAAGAGATATCCAAAATCCCTTCTGTAAAAGCCTTAGATACTAATATGACTACAAAATGAAACAATAATTTTGATCCTGGCTTTATCCAAGTTCAGATTTCGATTCCTGAAATGTGTTAAAATATGCGCATATTTCATGAGATAATGGTTCATTTGGGATATTTAAACATGCTATTTCAGAAACTTGTAATACAAAAAACAATTGCCTTATTGTAAGTAATTAACTGGAGAAATATTTAGCTGATATCTTTAAGTTAAAAATACCCTATTCACCTGGGGTGTCTCGCCTTAATTAGATGTTTGATAAGTGCAGATCACATAGTAAAACACGTACACAGATACATTATTTTGTATTTTTATTAAATTCGACAATGTCAATTTCACTTCCACTATGTCCACCGTTGTTTTCACAACCAATGGCAGAACTTTATTGAGGCCTGTAATTAGTCAACTACAGGTCTCTTGAGTCAGTCTTTTCTTCTTCCAAAAAAGCTTGTGACAAGATGTTATTGCTCTTGGGGCATTAAAACAAGATTTTTAACTTTAGTTTTTTATATAATATCTGCATTTTCTATTGTGAAAAACTAAGTCTAGTTATTTAATATATAGCGCCATCTCCTGGTTAACCCTGAAATTGGGAGAATAGTGGGAGGGCCTAACATTCTGAATACTGGTCTTTGGCAGGCAACTGGCTGGCAACTGGCTGGCAGTCGGCAGGAAGCTGTATGCTGGGGTCCAAAATAAGAGGCTCCATCTGTATACTAACATGCAGAACATATGGTATGTTTGAAAAAAGACTAACCATCTATCCAGTTCAAGCTGTCTTTAAGATGTGACATTTGCGCTCTGACTTTTCCCCGTAAATCGTGACAAACTATTACTTATTATAATTTGACCTCATGCTGCTTGGTTGAAATGATAGATGAGCATTTACCAACAGATCAACGCGCAATCAACCCATACAGGAGATCTCTTTCTACACATTATGTGTTATCACTAAATATCATGTCATTATTTAATGTTGTTTTGTTTGTGTGTGTGTGTACAACGAAGTCTCTTTGAGAGGAAAATTATAATTTAAGATCTTAATACCCCCTTACTGTTTAATTACTTCACACAACTATCTAAAGAATCCCTATATGAAGTTACATGAGGCTACATTTACTGGTGTGCTTCCCTAGATGATTGTAAATAGTCTAAGTGTCATGTTAGGGGGGCATTACGGGACCTCAGGAGTCCGCCCTTGGAGGCTTGGACGAGCGGATAAAGAGAGGGTGTATTTTACTGGGGTTGAGCCCTGGATGATATAAATAGTCCACGTGCCATGGAACTCAGGAGTCCGCCCTTTGAGGCGTTGTTAACATTAATGCTTTTTGCTTTTGTTTTTGTTACTAAGATACTTTTTTAGCCTTATGATAGGATGAACTTAAGCTGTAGTCAATAAAGACATGTTTAATAGAGTGTTGCTGTTAGAGAACATACCTGCGCAGCACTCCACCACGTCTTGGCTTTGGCTTCATGGCCTTCACTGTCCTCTCCCTTTGAGTTTTTTCAAAGGCTGGGATACATTTTTCCAAATGATCACTTGTTACATGGTGAGAAACATATGGTTATATAACCTTAAAGAACTAACAAAAAATAATTAAGTATTTGCAATGCATAAACATAGAAGTTATCACTGTCAATATTATTCACCTGGGCATTAGTGGGCTTGAGGGTCTCAGGGAGCGTGGACAAAGTGACTTGTCTCTGTATTTGAGGATTCTCAGTGCAGGCACTAACAGGAAGCTGCTGTGCATTAGTGGAGAGTCCTCTGAAGGCAGCTGTTATTTCATTCACACACTCATCTGCTACCTGCTGACTCCTCATAGTAAGTCTAGCCAAGTTAGCTGTTAAGTTGTCCATACCATCGCTTGATAACTGGTAACTTTTGATTGACA